TCAATGACCTTTAAATATTTTCACGGCAGACCTACGATCCTCTAACAACACACCAGTAAACAGCGGCAGAAGCATACGTACGTTTTATAAGGTATGACATGGACGTACAGAAAAAAAAGTAGAATTTATAAAATACAACTTCCAACTTCTAAAATATTATATATATTTAGAAAGTGTTAGTTAAAACATTGGGTTTACTGATACTGACAATCCTTGGGTCTGGCAGTGCCTAAAAAAAATACATACTCTGATTCTGCCTTTTTGAATCATGTCATTTTATTGTCTAATCGCCCCACTAGCGTTTTCTTAATTTCTTTCACCCTCTTGCGTCTTAGTAACTTTATTACCTTGCATGGGGTGAAATCATTAAAAAAAATTGTAACGAACAAGTGACACAAAAGCGAATAAAACTGCTGGGTATTAACTAGCATGGAAAACAGAATAAGACATCTACCACCGTGGATTGAATAAAGTGTTCGGTTAGATATACCATAAAGGTTACTGAGTACAAAGAAAGGCACGTGAAGAAGGCCGGAGAGTTCAACAGTCAAAATGTTGTGAGTATAACAACCAAGAAGAGCATGGAGGTCTGAACAGCCAAAGTATTTAATAATGATAATTTCTTCAGTATCTGTCTATATTTCTGAGATGAGGTATTATGTACACTATTTACATTATTCGGACTATTGTCCTCATCTTTGTCGCTATATTTATTACAACGTTTCGGCCGTTGTACGCTCCGGCCTTCTTCAGGTTGAAGACAATAGTGGAGCGTACAACGGCCGAAACGTTGTAATATATATGGCGAAAAGATGAGGACAATAGTCCAACCACCTGAACAAGGACGGAGCGTACAACAGCCGAAACGTTGTAATAAATCTGGCGGCAAAGATGAGGACAATAGTCCGAATAATCTAAATAGTGATAATTTCTTATTTGAAAAAACCGAAAAAAAAATTTATACAACTATAGAAGTTCTGTGAGATAACTTCTGTAGTAGCCTTGCTGTGGGGTAAATGTTAGTAATCTAGTGTTGAAAACTATTTTTACTGTGTAGTGAGTTCAATTTTCACCTGGTACGCCACACTCATGGTCGTGTGCGGGTCTTAACAAATACCTATCTTCAAACAATAGCCCGTTTATAGATACAATAGAAGGAGAGGGTTCTTTCTTTTGTGATAATAAAAATATAAACTAGGCATTTACAAAGCCAAGCTTTGAATGGCACAAGGTCAAACGTTGTGAGATACGAGAATTTAAAGATTGTATCGTTCAATCTTTTCAAATCGGCAGGGTTTTGTCTTAAAGATCAAAGTTGAAAATTCCGGCTTTTATTCTGTGTGGAACGCTGAAATCTTGTAGCATTAATTCGCAAAATGCTTTAAAATAACGTCTTGTTCACCAAGTTTTCATTTCGGCTGATAAAGTTTTAAGAGATAGAAAAAGTTTGTTAGAAATAAAAACAAATATTTTATACTATGTACTGCTATGTAATAAGCTATTTGACAGTAAATGATGGAGAATCTCCTGACGGATAAAGAAGAGACTTGAAGCTACAGAAACGGAATTCTACCATATTATATATATATAGGCCATATTATATATATATTATATATATATATATATATATATATATGTGTGTGTGTGTGTGTGTGTGTGTGTGTGTGTGTGTGTGAGGGGTTGAACAAATACAAATGTGCATGAGCGAGCGTCTGAATTAGGGATAGGCTAGCCACATTTTTAGACGGGTATCCTTGAATACGAGTGGCCAGCTATACATACATATATATATATGTGTGTATATATATATATATATATATATATATATATATATATATATATATATGATATGATATTATTTATTTTTTAGATATTAAAACAAAAAAATGTTAAAAATAGCTACACAATTACAATTATGTGTCTCCTCTTTGTAGTGTTGAAAAAGAATTCTAATTGTGTAGCGATTTTTAACATGTTTTTGTTTTAATATCCTAAAATAAATAATATTCAGCTCTACTCTGTATTGAGCCCTCTTTTTAATTAAATGTCACGGACAGTGGAATTATGCTTTATTTGTTCTCATTTATATATATATATATATATATATATATATATATATATATATATATATATATATATATATATATATATATATATATATATATATATATATATATATATATATATATATATATATATATATATATATATATATATATATATATATATATATATATATATATATATATATATATATATATATATATGTGGAGTTATGGATAATGACACGGATTGAGGAATGGGAGACCGGAGTTCGAATTCCAGTTGCATTCATTACATTCATTTACGTGCAAATACCCTTGGGAAAGGTATGAATCCATCTCCTCTCTTTATGGGTAAATAGCAGAATAGACTTGGTTGGCAACCGGTCTAGAAGAGGCAAAACTCTTAATTCAAAACCAGAGGAGGGCATTTTGAAGACATTGTGGCATGTGCAGCAGTTCTCTGTGTACGGCTCTTACAAAAAGTGCGGTTGGCCTTCACCACTATAATCAAATCATACACGCGAGTAGTTTGGCTGTTTGGTTCTAAGACCTGAGCGGTTGTACCCTCATACATCGTAAACGACAGGAGAACCCAGGATAAGATATATGTACAGGGTGTGTCAAGAATACTTTTTAAAAACTTTGCGGCGTGTTCCTAACACCAAAACAAGGACAAAAGTCCACGAAAACATATGTCCGCAAATCCTTTGTTTTTGAGTTATTAAGTTTACAGTTTACGGTAGATGCTGTTAAATATACAATCCAAGATACAATCTAAAAACTTTGTTCAAACTTTGGGCGGGTTCCTGACGCCAAAGCGATCAATGCTATGGTAAACAGCAGTCAATGTTGGATGGCTTCGATCTGGAAACGCAAACCGTTATGGCCGTGCAGCCTCGCGTCCATTACCATTCGCGCGGCTGTATGTAAAAATCATATCTGCTTGCTCACGATATAAATATTCTGCCATAGTTGAACGGAACACTTTTCAGTTAACTCACTACTACACACGTTAAGCGTTGAAGACAGACTAAGCACAAATATATACGAATGACAAATGTAAACTGGTCTACATGACAACACAGCGCCATCTACCGTAAGCTTTCTTTAAACTTAATAACTCAAAAACGAAGGATTTGCGGACGTATGCTTATATGGACTTTTGTCCTTGTTTAGTATTAGGAACACGCCTCCAAAGTTTGTAAACGTTTTTTGATATACCCTATATATATATATATATATATATATATATATATATATATATATATATATATTTGTGTGTGTGTGTGTGCCTTTCTTTCATGATATGCTGTGAAAATACATACCTACCACCTGTTTTGTTAACCCTGTAGTAGAGAGAACACGTGCCTTGCTATAATTGAATTACGTATATTGACAAGTGCTGATTTGGGTTTTATCACAGGACCTTATCCTTTTGAAAGTCGTTCGCCAAACTTTTATTTTACAGATCGATTTTATTTAAAAGGCTGTGTATAGTTTTCGTTCTACTTACTCTAAAAGTCTTTTTTTTCCCTTTCATATACCTGGAACTATCTACCTAAAGGTATTGATTATAAATTAAAATTAATTATCGATTAAACGTTCTTATGGAGATCGTCATTTTTTTCGAAACTAAATAGAACCAATTTCACGTACTCCGTAATAAAGTATTTTTCAGAATGGAGAGAATTGCAGACAAACTTGTAATGCCCATCCACACGCAATGGTTGATACAAAATTACAATTTTAATGGCTTAGAAGCCAGTAAACTTTCGTATTTGCAACAAAAGTAGGTTTTTGACTCTAGTAGATAACTAAATTTTTTTTATTGAAAGAAGAGCTTTTGGTAATATTAGAATGACATTCTTACTTATTAGCTAAGGTACATTGTGTTATCACTTAGAAAGCAACCATTATATATTTTCTGTTTCACCCTTTAAGGTTCTTTTCTTTTTCTCCCACTACTTTAGTAATTTACTCATAACACGAGAAGCATGGTTAACTTTGTTACCGAAACGAACCTTGTAATGCAAATAAATAAAAATACAAGTACAGGTGAGAAAAAAAAATGTATTATAAGGAAAAAAAAACCCGGAAAAAGGCTCTAAGTTGTAGATCGAGCAAAATTCAAACAAATCTGATTCAGCTATTTATACACATATACTTACTCGCTACTGTCCTTCTGTTTCCTATCTATTTGAATAAATCTCGATATAGATGTCTATGTCTATATAAGTGTGTTTAGATATTAATGCGCGTGTTTGTAGGTGATTCTATGCGTGTGAATGTCGTTTTTATATGCGCCCGTGCCTCTTTCTCTCTGTACGCGCGCGTGTCCATAGGCTTTCCGATAAGATTTGCCTATTCTATTCGCGTGTATGCTTTAGCAGCAGCTTGTACAACAACAGCTGTAAAAATGACTTGCAATAAAAAGAAATTCTATCGATGTCGGGAAACTCGGAAGGAGTGGGGTTGGAGAAAGAAAAGAGAGAGAGAGAGAGAGAGAGAGAGAGAGAGAGAGAGAGAACGAAAAACAGTTCCGAGGAAATGTGAAAAGAAATAGACGTAAATGAAGGTGAGAAAGACAAAGAGGAAATTGACCACCACAGTGTTTTATACACAAACACATGGAAGCGTTAAGGTAAAATAAAAGCGATAGATAGATAGACAGATAGATGGACAGAGAGAGAGAGAGAGAGAGAGATAGGGAGAATAGATAAAAGTCAAGAGAAGAAATATCATGTTACAAAACGTAAAAGAAAAAGCCGGTCAGGAAGTTACACACACAGAGAGAGAGAGAGAGAGAGAGAGAGAGAGAGAGAGAGAGAGAGAGGAGAAAGGAGATATAGAAAGGAGGAGAGAGAGAGAGAGAAGGAGGGAAAGATGAAGAAAAGGAAAACGTGAGAAAAATAGGGAGAGGAGAAGAAATGGAGATAAAGGAAAGAATAACAGATTTTACGTAAGACGGGACGAAAAAGGAAAGAAAATCAAGTCATGACTGTAGCAGTGAGAAAACAAATGAATAAGAAAGAAAGAGAGAAAAAGATATATAGAGAGAGACAGAAAGAGAGAGAGAGAGAAAGAAAGAAAAGGAATGAGAGGTAGAAAGAAAGATAAGAGAGTTAAGGGAAATCGACGAGAAAAATAAACGGAAGAGACAGGAAGAAGGCCAGGGACAAGAAATCCAGACGTTAAAGAGAAATAAAAATAGAGAGAATGAGAGAGAGAGAGAGTGTGTGTGTGTGTGGCGGGGGGAGATAGACAGAGAAAAATGAAATAAAATGAGAATGGGAAAAGAGGAAAATGAGAAAAAGATAGAATGAGAAAGAAAGAATAAGAGGGATAATGTGTGAGATAGATTAAAGATAGATATATAGACAGACAGACAGACTCATAGATAGATAGATAGAGAGAGAGAGAGAGAGAGAGAGAGAGAGAGAGAGAGAGAGAGAGAAAGGAAGAATTCTTGGTGTAGTAAAACACATTGCTCTAGCTTTTCACTTCTTTCTGTCACCATTCGTATTATCAATACAGGATTGTGGGTGTGTCCAGAAAGTGATTACAGAGGTCAGTTTTGAGGGCTGTGACGGGAGGGTATAGGGTAAGGAAGGTGTGTGGAAAGGACGTAGGGTGGAGGATATTAGAAAGTGGTTAGGGCAGACTCTGATTCCCGTTGGGCTGGAAGGAGTCAAACCAATGGCTTGAAATTAACATGCATAGATACTTAAACAGTGAGTGGCAACATATGCGAGCGGATATCATTGAGTACTGTCGACAGAGATTCACTAGCCAATTTCCTCTTCCTCCTGCGTGCACATACATAAGGCAAACGGGCGAGCTTATAGGCACACGTTACCATTTAAAGATGCCGTGATTTCCGTTTTGTTTTCTCTCTCTTTATTCTTTCACGCTGCAATTAGTTTAAACGTCATCTTGAGTCTTCCGTCATGCACATTTCTTTCTTTCTTTCTTTCTTTCTTTCTTTCTTTCTTTCTTTCTTTCAGATAAGAATTTAAAATCAGTAATCTTTTTTTTTTAATCCTTTTTCTTTTCAAACCTGGAATGGAAAGCTGAATTGTGTTTCCGGTTAGAGATATGCAGTTACTTCAGCCACCAAACATGTGTTCCTCTTGACACTTACTAAACTTCAATCAACCAGAGAAAAACGGAGGAAGACTGCATTGCGTCAATCCAATAAGAAAAAAAAAAAGAAAAGAAAAGCTGGCTTGCTTGCTTTGAAAATTAGTATTCTAATTCCTGGCTTTTTAATTTAATTTTTTTTTTTTACCTGGTTTTGAACATTGATAGCGGGTGCAAGTAGTAAATAGACGGATGTGGCGAGCCTCCCATTGCCTTGTCGCTACTACCATGGAAAGTGTTCGGACGAAGTGCATCTCCTGGTTCCCCATGGTCTAACCTTCACTGCTAGGACCCGCCATGTCACTTACATAGTAGCAAACTACTCACATTCCCTCCGTATTCCATCGGCAAGAAGCAGTTTCTTTCCGCGAACCACTGCTCTATGGAACAGACTCCCAAGAGGATGTTTCCTGTTCAAGTCTAGAGTCAACCATTATCTTCCCCTCCTATGCATATAAACTATCCCTTAACGTAACCCTCTATCTCGAGTGCCCTCCACCCGTACAGGGTGAATCTTTCTGTAAAAAAATTATATTATAAATAGCAATGGAAAAATTATCCATTTCCTTATAAGGAAACATTCGGCCTTCATTGACCAAACAATTTGCGTTACTGTCGGTTGAAATTTATAAAATCTTTTTCTTGAGAGAGTTTTTCAGGAAAACAGATTTCTCAGGATCATTGTTTAATCTCATTCGAGTAAATATGAGAGTTTCTGTCCAAAGCTTTTTTGTTTGGTAGCGCGTAAAGTTAACATCTTCATTATAATCTTATTTTCTTTTCTCGTTACACTTGCTGTACATTTCCATTGTTTTTGCTGTTGAAATTCTTCAAATAATGTGATTTTTTGATATTTGGCATAGCTCGTTGTGATCTTGCTGCACCAGTCTAGAGCGCCCGATGAAGATTCGTTTTTAAGATTTAAAGGATTTATTCGTTTGTAGAAAATTTTAATCCTTGATTCAAAGAAGCAGTTATGTACTGATGATAATTGAGCCATTTTTGGACGAGCTGTACGCCATGGATAGCATCCATATCAGAATCTAAATCTGACGAGGCCATTTTAGAACATGACTTCCGGTTAGTATTTTGGTTTTGTCACATGATACGGCATTGGAGTAAACGTACAAGCGCAACTGATTCTGTGTTTAATTTTATTCTTTTTTGTTCGTATACATTTTAATATTTTCAAATTTCCATTCATTCAGCAATTCTTTAGTCCGAAATAATTTTTTAGCCATATGTATCTTTCTTCTTAATTGTTCTTTATTAACTATATGTAGGAGGCAAATTAGAAAGAAAATAATTTCTTAAACAGAAGCACCTTAAACCTACACTTTAAACGGGAGAAACACAAAAATACTATTTCTTTCATATAACACAATATATATATATATATATATATATATATATATATATATATCAGCTTGCAAACACCCAGATTATAACATTCTGAGGAGCTGTCATATTTCAACTAATCACACAAATATATAGTGATTTCCCAAGCGTAGCATAGATCTGGCACAACGCCGAAAGTAAGGGGCACTCAGTTAAAATCGAACTTACTACTCAGTCGTAAATATTGTAGCGAGACAAACTCGCTAACCATTATACCGCCTCGAGGTGCCCTAAATGAATTTCTAAGCATAGCTTAGATGTGGCACACGGCCAAAAGTGTGGAGCACCCAGTTAGGATCGAACTCCCTATTCAGTCGTAACTGTTTTAGCGAGACAAGTTTGCTAACCACTACACTACGTCGAGGTGCCCAAAGTGATTTTCTAGGCATAGTTTAGATGTGGCACAAGGTCGAAAGTATATATATATATATATATATATATATATATATATATATATATATATATATATATATATATATATATATATATATTTTGTATTTAGAAAAGCAAACCTTCTGTCATGTACATTTCATTGAATACGACAGACAAGGTGCTTTTATTTAGTTTTTTTATACAATTTCTCATGCGGCCTAATATTTTTTCTTTTCGGATGATAAATTATATAAAAACTGTCCGAATATTCTTTTTATCCTAGCGCTTTCGGCTATACATTTAGCCATTTGTAAGGATTAAATATTTTAACTGTTAAATAAGAAATAGTTTGTTGCATGTATGTTTTATAAAATGTTTTCATTTTTCAAAACAACATATTGTGTCCATGTTCAAAGTTAATATTATTTTTTTTTGCATGTAGATGATGCTGTTATATTACTGTTGTCAACAAGTATGTTACGAATAGTGTCCGGTAGGTCTCCATGAGTATTTAAATGAGATCTATTGTTTTAAATGATATATAGATTACTTGAAACGTTGTTTTTAATCTATATCCGTATGAGAATAGACGCTCTGTTTATTTAAATTTTTTTTTTTTTTTTGTCTACTGAGAAAACTTATTAAAGCAAACCTGCCCTCCTACAGTATTCGAACCTGCGTCCACCGTTACAGGAGAAACCACCGTCTATTTCACTTTGACAACTTGGCTACGAAGTACATCACAATCGAGCAAGGTTCTATTTGCCTTAAAAGCACATTCACTCGTTTATATTTTCTTGGAAGAGATATTTATTCGCCTTAAAAAATATATCTTAAAATAATAAATAAAATTTATTGATTTTCATTTTTATAATAATTATTTTATTAATTTATTTTCTCGGAAGATGTATCTATTTGCCTTAAAAATGTATCTTAAAATAATAAATAAAATAATAGATATATCTTAAAAGATTTATCTATTTGCCTTAAAAGCACATTCATTCGTTTATATTTTCTGGAAAGATATATCTATTCAGTTTCGTATCCGAAATGTAAAAAAAAATAATTTTATAAAAAATTAATGTATTTTATCATTTAGCCTGACATAGGGCACCTCGACTTTGTGTAATGTTTAGCAAGTTTGTCTCGTTAGAACAATTACGACTGAGTAGTGAGTTCGATCCTCACTAGGTTCCCCATACTTTCGGTCTTGTGCCGCATCTGACCTACGCTTGGAAAATCTTTTGGGCTCCTCGAGGTGGTATAATGGTTAGCAAGCTTGTCTCGCTGAAACAATTACGACTGAATAGTGAATTTGATCCTCACTGGATGCCCCATACTTTCGGCCTTGTGCCACATCTAAGCTACGCTTGTAAAACCATTATCTTTTAATCTGACATATTTTTATTACTGCAAACATTCTTTTTAGTGGATGCTCTTATTTCAGTAGACCTTCCATTTAATACAAACACACACACACACACACACACACACACACATATATATATATATATACCAAGAAAGAGGGAAAGAGAGAGAGTGAGAGAGAGAGAGAGAGAGAGGTATCAATTTGGACACCAAAATACACGTTTACAGAGCAGTCATTTTGACCACAATGTTGTACGGCTCAGAATCATGGACCCCATATAGGTCCCATATCAACCAGCTGGATGTTTTCCACAAACGTTGTCCCTGCGCGATCTGTGACGATACCTTTGACAATAGCGTGTCCAATGTTGATCTTCTCTTAAAATGCAACATTGGTGGAATTGAGACTTTCCTGTTGCAATCACAGCTGGGCTGGTCATGTTGCAAGATGAGTGACGACAGAATACCTAAGGTCCACATATACAGCAAGCTTGACAGTGGGCACCCTTGGATCAGGTATAAAGGCAAGCTAAAGAGTAATCTTCCAGCTGTCAATGTGCCTCATACTAAGTTCGAGCGAGTTGTCCTGGATAGAAATAACTGTGCCAGAGTTGTATCAGAAATTTCAAAATAAGTCGTATTGACCGGCTAAGAGACGAAAGACAATGGCGAAGAGCGTTAGCAAATATTCCAGTTGCTATGTATCGAGATCTTCGCTGTTGCACAATATGTAGACTTGTATGCAGATCACTAGCGTGACTGAAGTATCACATACGACACAAACGTAAAATCTGAATGGGTTTGTCGGATCCTCATACGTCGAAATCGAATGGAGTGTCCATTATATATATATATATATATATATATATATATATATATATATATATATATATATATATATATACAAGTAAAAGTTTGTCACGTAGCTGATTGATGTTACATTCAGCATCCCGACTCTAGAGTTTCGTAGACGGACCTGCCCGTCCGCTCTTCAGTGGTTATCACCAATTGACGATTTTTCTTTTTTATGCTTTTATCATTGGTGTAGGTTTTTTCCGTATTGTTTATGTTCGTGTGAGCGTTTGCGCGCGTACAGCCATACATCCGTCTGTGGGGATGTGCGTTTGTGCGCGTGCATCTGTCTGCACGGATGTGCCTACGTGTAGGGAGTCATGATCATTTGTCCTTTTCTTCGTTTATTTTCCCCCACTTTAGCATTTTCTCTTTTTTCCTTTTTCTCTTTTCTTTCAATTGTAGCCATTCGTGACCAATTATTTCCGGTATGTTTTCTAGACATACCACAGTTTTTAATTTTTGAACGTTCTAGTGTTTGAGGCTATAAAAGTTGTATTCTCGTTTTTTGCATAAATAATTGATATTGATGCTTAATTAAATGAATAAAGGTATCCACTACTCCACCGTGCCTTCTCTATGAGAGTAGGAGTAGGAATCGGAGAGCCGAGTTCGAATTCCAGTCGAATCCATTACATTTAGGTGCTAATATCCTTGGAGAAGGTCAATAGCAGGACTTGCTTTTGATGGCAACTGGTCTAGGAGAAGGAAAACTCTGAATTCAAATCC